TTTTTAATCAACATTTTGATTACTATTATCTCTTCCAAAATTATTTTTTTGAACATTTTTCATTGCTCAACCATATCTTTATAGTGCATCAAAATTCAAAACATTGTTTTTTTTATTTTTTTATACTGTTATATACAAACTACTCCGTATTAGTTAGATGTTGGTTCATGTGCATTAGATATTCGTGATTGTGTATTAGAAATGAGTGTTTGTGCATTGTATACTTAACTTGTGATTCTTATGTACATACTACATGCTAGCTATTGGTTCTTGGGCGTATATACATATTATGCATTCGATATTGATTCTTGTGTATAATTGCAAGCTTAAGTTGTATGGTGTATGTCTTGATGTGTTACATATTAATTCTTTTTAATGTGTGTTAGATATTTATTTTTGTGCTAATGGCACTTGTTATATATGGTATTCTATATACTAATTGTACGTCGGAAACTCCTGCTTGGATGTTATATACTTGGTGTGTTATTGGACATTAGGTGCCACCCGTTCTTGGGTGTCTATTTGTATTGTGCATTAGATATTGATTCTTGTGTGTGTTATATATTAGTTTAAGTTGTGTGAAATCCTTATGTGTTAGATATTAATTAATTACTTTTTAATTGTTGTGCATGTGTCTTATAGTGTTCGTTGTGTATTAGATATTGAATTTTGTGCTTAAGATACTTGTTTTAGCTTTTCCTATACGTATTGGGTGTTAGATACTCGTTTTTGTGTGTTAGATACTATTACATTGTGTGTTAGATACATATTCTTATGCATGCAATAACTGAAGATGTTTGTTATGGTTTATGATACACATGTTATACTAATTTTTGAAAAACTAAATTATATATGACATATTGGTGTCATTTGAAAGATAATAAAAAATTATTTAATTTGATATACTTTTTGTTAAAATCGGATTGCAATTTAAAAAGTTAAATCAATTTTTTAACTAAAGTTTTTTTGTATGATTTTACCTTTCATCTCTTCCTAAATATTTGGTAAGTGTTAGCTAGTCTTCAACGGATGCTACATTAATGGATTCAAAATTACTTTACTACCCATGTTAACCCTACGTATGGATTAGAAAGTGTCAGGGTAGTTTTTCAATGTCTGCACTCCCACCATACATCTGTGCATCTCATCCTTTTATGACCCTTAATTTATTAAGATGTATGGTTAAGATTTGTTCTCACGTTCTCACGTTAAGCTCAGTTCTCATTGGAACCGCACCCTATATATATATATATATATATATATATATATATATATATATATATATATAGTTCTCATTGGAACCGCACCCTATATATATATATATATATATATATATATATATATATATATATATATATATATATATATATATATATATATATATATAACTGAAAGTGTCATTTCTTTTAGAGGGATTTCCATTTAAATACTACGCAACATTGTTGGAAAAACTGACAAAAATATTAAATAAAACAAAAGCAAGTGTTAATCTTTAACTTACACACATGATCAAGTGGTGGGAAATTAAACTTGTGGAGGCAATTCAGAGAACTCCTTTGTTAGCCTACCGACTTCTTACTTTAGTAGGTCTATATTTGGCCGGATATACAATAATAACTCTATCTCGAAATTAAAGGAAAATAACCATGGATAATTGTCTGACTTAATTAGTTAACAAATTGCATAGTTAAAACATTGAATTGACTCGGTCAATTCAATTACTTTTTTTTATGTATCAGATATGTAAAACATCAATTAAATTATTATAAACCATGCTTTACTTTGACTTTTTCTGAATAATTTTGAAATAAGAATTGCACATTTCAATGTTAAAAAAGTAATTCATCGATTTTTTTTTACCTTTTTCTATTAATACAAAATAAAACGGGTTTAAGTAAAATTCCATTATTTGTTAAGCACTAAATAATTAATTATCAGAACATATTTCATTTCAAAAAAAAATTATTAGAACAGATTTTCTCATATTAATTAAGGAATGAATATATTAAGTATTGTGTTTGTAAATAATATGTGTATACATTTTTTCAATTTCTAGGAGACCCTAAAAAACTCTCAAACGTAACCCTAAAATTGCTAGGATTGGCCCTGCTATTAACATATGGTTAATTAACCTATATATAAATATTTATAGGTTATTATATATAGGTTAATTTATAGGTTAGCAAAATTCATAGCAAGCGATATTAGAGTAAATTGTTGCAAGCGATATATTAGAGAATTGATATTAGAGAATTAAATATTCAGGTTAATTTTAACTAAATTGTTGCAAGCGATATTAGAGAATTGATAGCTAATTTTAATAGCATTAGTTTCTCTCATGTTAGGTGATTTGTGAACCGCGTTGCTCATGTGTTAGCTAGAGTAGCGGGTTCCATGTCTGATTGACGAGTTTGGTTTGGTGTTCCCCTTCTTGTATTGTTACTGCTTTGGCACATGAATAATCTCAACTATCGACGGTCTTCCAATATTAATCCCACATATAAGTAATTCTAGAATAATCTCAATTATAATGGACATATTCTCAAAGCAATCTGGTGACCTGCATAAACCCATTATTACTCGTCTATCCCTTTCTTTTCTTAATCTTTTTTTTCCTTCATTTTTTTCTTCCTTCGTCTTCCTCTCTTTGCATTGTTCTTTTCTTTTCACCATTTCCCACCCGTTTTCTTCTTTTCTCACCGGTAAGGTATACCTCTCACAGTCTCACAGATCTAGTAGGTTTTCATTTTCTTTTTTTCTTTTTCTTTTTTCTTTCCTCCTCTGTGGCATCTGCAGGATTTAATTTGAGGAATAGTTAAATTGGCAAATCCAATTCTACTTTCCCCTTACTCGAATTCAGCTTCGATCGAATTTCAGAAGCACAATATTTGCTTCTGTGTTAATGTTAGAAGCTCAACTCTAACTTTACTTTCTTAAGAAATTATCTTCTCTGCATTTCTTTTCTTTTCTTGGGGCTTGAGCTAAAGCGTTTCCAGCGGAGTACGAACAACAGCCCGTCCATGTTCCATGGTCGCCGTCCATACCATCTGTAGATCGTCGTCGGCCGTCCGTCCCAGTTAGGGGTGGGCAAAAATACCGAAATATCGGTATACCGCACTTACCGTACCGAAAAATACCGGAAAATACCGAAATATTGGTATACCGTCATTTTCGGTACGGTATCATACCGTACCGATCTATTTTGGTACGGTAACGGTAAATGTTTTCAAATACCGCGGTATACCGGTATAATACCGTACCGACTCTCTACTCAACAATTACTTTTAATTCTAATATATTGTAGAAATCCATTACAATTTTGAAGCCCAAAATTAATACTTAAGTTGGTTAGAAATACAAAGATACAAAAATAAATGCCCAATTTCTCAAACCTACTATAACCTTATAGGCTTCTACTACGCTAACCTTAATGACTAATGAGTAATGTACAAATGTCAAGAAACAAGTTCATCTTGTTCCAAGAGCTTGCAAGTCGTGATGGCTGGGCCGCTAAGTATCTGGCGAGTGAAGAGAGATACACTTATGTGACAAGTGTATCCACATAGGGATTCCGCAAGTCGAGACACACAACTTTGTCCGAAAGTCTTATTCAATTTTTAAAAAATTATAAAAATGACTAAATACACAATATCATATTAGGAATAAATGATTTTATATCCATGTTGTTTGAATAGTTTTATTTATTTTTGTTAGAGATCACTATTGGTTTAATTATATCTATATTGTTCAAGTTATTTTAGGAGAATGTGTTACTTTTTAATATGTGGCATGTTGAATCGCTTAAACATACTAATAATTATTGTTCAATGTTGAATTGACATCAATAGATTATTAATTGTATTTCGTAACATTTAAATAATGATTTAATATGTCGCTAGTAATAATGATTTAGTATATTTCGTTAGTCTATGATAATTTTTTATATTGGGAGACATGCACGGCAATTTACCGATACCGTACCGTTACCGAACCGAAACTTCGGTATACCGAAATGCGGTATACCGAAACTTCGGTAAGGTAAAGGTATGCAAATTTTGCATACCGAAAGTTTTGGTACGGCAAAGGTATGAGAAAAAATATAAGGTATAACGTACCGAACCACCCCTAGTCCCAGTTGCTTTTCACCATCAATTTTCCATCCGACCTAGCTGTTCGTCGATTCATCACCGTTCAACGGTCTAATCCCATTGGTTCTTCTACGAGGGCCCTCCGTCCATCCCAACCTTTTTATCGTCAACACTCGTCCCTCTCATCCCAGCTAGTCGCCATCGCCGGTCGTCCGTCATCTCATCCCAGCTAGTCGCCATCGCCGCTCGTCAGTCATCTCGTCGCTTTTGTTCTTCACCGTCCCTGTGTTGTTGCTAGGGACTATTTATTTCATTTTTATTTTTACTTAGGTTTACAGGCTGAGTAAGTCATAGGTAAACCGGATCAATAAGGGAAGGATCATGTAAAATTGAGATTATTCTAGAATTACGTATATGTGGAATTAATATTGGAAGACAGTTAATAGTTGAGATTATTAATGTGAATTTTTCCTTTTATTAATATGAGTTGATTGGGTTGCTTTAAAAAAAGCACAACAAAAAATAAAGCAATGAATCTGTCCCAATACTATATTCTTACTCTATTCGTAATTATCAATTCACTTTTGTTTAATAGGTGCATCACCTCCTCACTTAATTATATTACTCTAGTGATATTTCGTAATATTTCACTCATACTCCTTATTTTTTTTTTTATCATCACTCATACTCCTTATTAAATAATGTCTGCTAATATTAGAGTAAATTAAAGTAGCTTAATTAATTACCTCACCGATGGCGGAAGATGCTCCGGTGACGACGACGACCTGTCCTCCATGATCTCCTCCCCAAAGAAGGCGCTCCAAAGCCACTCACCTGCGCTGATGAAAGTCAAAGCCGGCCACGCAAACGCCAGAATCACCAGGCTCGCCGGCGGCACAACCAAGTTCAGCACTGAATTCACCAAATCCATCACTCCGTACGTAATTAACAATTACGTAATATATATATACTTCAGTAGTAGATATATATATATATATAGGTTGATTGAGCCTTTTCTTTTTGTTTTTTCCCCTCTTTCATCAACAGCCGGCCAGTTGAACGGAACGAAATAATTAATTTGTTGAAATTTTATAAAAGGGGGACAGTCAGATATTTGCATGGATTGTGCCTGAGTTGGCAATCTACGAAGCAAGTGTTGGTGTGTATGCAGGTGGCCACGTGTTGCTATTGCTCCTCCCTACATAACACGCGTGACCATAATATAGTGCAACAATATCCACATGGTACGTATGATGCCACCAATTTGATTCTTATTCTAAATTACTCCCTCCGTCCCAAAATCGTTGGCCAATGTTGACTTGCACGTGGATTAATAAAGTAAAAACTGTGTGGTTGAAATTTGTGCAGAGTAGAGAGAATTAACTTTAGCCACATATTCCTTACTTTAAATGGAAGTGGCCAACCTTTTTTGGACGGCCAAAAAAGGAAATTTGGCCAACCATTTTGGGACGGAGGGAGTAGTGTAATCGTATGAAAAATTTAATACATATAGTTTATTTTCTACCACGTAAAAGGGTTAAAAATTCAAAACACAAGAAATTAACTTCAAGAAATTAACTGGGCAGTTTATATGTATGAACTGCCCATTTAACTTCAAGAAAATTATTTGAATGCCTTCCCGATCGAATTTTGAGCTGAAATTTGGTATTGATAAACTAGACTTCATGAAGAACATGCTCAAAAAAATTCATCAAAAAATTCCATCGGGAAGTGCCCGAAATGCCCTCGGCCGGACGGCGGTTCCCGTCAGGCCGGCTGGACATGAAAAGTCCTCTATATATATATATATATAGAATTTGGTTCAAATAAAAGTACTTCATAGGTGAAAAATAAGAACTAATCTTGGCTGTTGATGTGAAAAAATGGATGGAAGAGATCAATTTTTAAGTGGGAAACGCGGTGGCATTTGTGTAATTATGGAGAACTTTTTTTGAAAATATTGTGACAAATGTGTATCAGAATAGTCAAAAAGTGCACACGTAGAACACAAAAGTGCACTACGATATCAAATAAAAAGTGCACAAGTTTGAAATTTTTGACAATCTTTTTTACACGCGTGAGTGCACTTTTGGTTAGTAGCTGTCCACTTTATAGTATAAACATTTGCACATTTTTTGAAACCGTCTTTTATGTTTAAAGTTCATCTAATCCATCCATTTTCAAGTGATCAAAGGCCAAGATTTATTCTCACTTTTCATGGGAAGACTACTTTTTACTTGAACCCACCCTATGTATATATAGAGAGAATGAATCTGGTGAGAAGTCCGTTTGCGCTGAAAACTGAGAAGCAATAATAAACTTCCGATACAATTCATCCAACGGCAAGGCATCTTTTCGTATTTTATCAGTATTGACCTCTGCTCCAGATTCATTTCATCTCCCGATTAATAGTGTAGATTTATTATTATTTCTTATTGTGGAACTCCTTGTGTAATATTAACTCTTTTCTAGTATAAATATATCTGCCAGGGCTACCATTAAGGTTAAGCCTGGTATTATTTCTCACATGGTATCAGAGCCAATTTCTAAAATCCCTAATTTTTTTTTTCCGGCTACGATGACTTCTACGCCAACCTCTTCCGCCGCCGCTGAGTCCTCTGAGCCGGCCACAATTTCACCCACCGCCCAGATGACGTCGCCGACCTTCTCTTCGTCTCCAGCAACTCAGCCTCTATCTTCCGCTGCTTCAATCTCGCAGCAGGCCTCCAGTCTATCTTCTCAAACGATGGCTGCTTCAACAACTCTTCCCTTCATGTCAATGGACCCTGTTATCTCTCAAACCTGGATGCCGCCTCCTCTTATGACGGAATTTAGCGCCTGGAATCCTCCCCTCTTTACTTGGACGCCGACACAGCCCTCAGTCCGTCCACCAGTGCAGCCCGTCCTCTCTACTGGCAGAAGTTTTCTTCCTCCCATGGAATCTGCCTCCAATTTTGCTGGTCCTACATTTGCAGGAGCACCAGGTATTGCACCACTCTCCTCTCCTAGGCCAATTGCTCCACGAAGTACTGCTGCCAACACCGGTTCTATTCTTAATGAATTAGTTAAGAGTATTGGATTTTCTGCCCTTAATATTACCAACGTTGTGACCACCAAATTAGCTGCGGTAGAGGATTACCAATATTGGCGTACTCAATTTGAGTCTTTTCTGCTCTCCAATGGGTTTTTGGGAATTTTAGATGGTTCGATTCCTGCTCCCCCTCCCTATATTTTTGATGCGTTTCATCTTGAGACAATTAATCCGGACTATTGTAATTGGTTAAAACTTGATCAAACGGTGCGTTCGTGGCTATTTGCCACTTTGTCTCGAGATGTCTTAATTGAGGTGCATGACTTAAAGAATGCTTCTGCTATTTGGAGTCGGTTAGAGTCTCATTTTATGTCTGCTAGTCTTGCCCGCTCCATGGAATTAAAACGCCAATTGACTACCTCTCGGAAGGGACTTAATCAGTCTATGGAGCATTATCTCAGAGACATTAAGATTATTGCTGATAACTTAGCTTCGATTAATGATCCTGTTGCTCCTCGTGAACTATTTAAAACTATTTTGATGGGTCTGGGACGAGACTATGAGTCTCTTATTACCTCAGTTGGTTTATTTCCGGAGAGCTTCACCTTTGAAAGACTACGCAACTGCTTGATTGAAAAGGAGCAAACTATACAGTATATGCGCACTCTAGAAGAGCCTCCCCAGGCCCAAGCATTTGCGGTCCAAGCTCAGGCTACCGGGCAGCCACCTCCCCACGGCGGGCAGCAGCAACGTGGGAGAGGTTATCGCGGTAGGGGCGGTCGTGGACAGCGGGGCAGAGGGGGCCGCGGACAGCGTGGCCGCGGTTATGCCCCACATCAGCATGGTTATGGCTTTCCTCCTCCGATGGGCTACGGCTACCCCCCTCCTGGCTATGTTCCAGGGGGTGCACCTCATGCGGGCATTCTTGGGGCTCCAGGCTCAGCAGGTATATCTGTTCAGTCACATGTTTATACTTATGCCTTATCTGCTTCTTGTACTAACCGTGGATATGCAGGCTCTTCATCTGTTGACGGGCACTCTGTTCCTCCTCCTGTAGTTTGTCAAATTTGTTATGCCCCAGGTCATCCCGCCTCTACTTGTCCGTCTCGTTTTGTTCAGCCGGCTGCACCTGCTCTCGCTGCTCAGGCTCCTGATGCTACTGACATTGTGTGGTATCCTGACTCAGGTGCCTCTGCTCATATGACTCCTCATCCAGGTATTTTGTCTAATAAAACCTTTTCTCCTAATTCTCATTCAATTATTGTAGCTAATGGTACTTCTCTTCCTGTTATGCATACCGGTGAGGTTGTTTTGAGTTCCTCTGCTCGTCCTCTTCGCCTAAAATCTGTTTTTCATGTGCCTAATATTAAATATAATCTTTTGTCCATTCAAAAATTATGTGCTGATAACAACTGTGTTGTAGTTTTTGATAAAAATTGTTTTTCTGTAAAGGACAAAACTACGGGGGCGGTTCTACTTCGAGCGGTCAGTGATAATGGTGTCTATCCTGTTCGTCAGCCTGCACCTCCACCTGTTGCCCTTTCTGCTGCTTCTGTTTCCCTTTGGCATAATAGATTAGGACATTGTGGTACTCGTGTTTTAGATCAACTTAGAATTAATAATTTAATTTCTGGCACTTCTGCTTCTATTTCTGATTGTATTCCTTGTCGTTTGGGAAAATCACAACGGTTACCTTTTAATAAAGTTTTTCACAACAGTCCGTGTGCTTTATATTTAATCCATTCTGATGTATGGCAATCTCCTGTGCTATCTCATCTTGGTTTTAAATATTATGTTTGTTTTGTGGATGATTTTTCTCGTTTTACATGGCTATATCCTATGCGGCGTAAGTCTGAGGTTACTACTCATTTTCATCATTTTAAATTAATGATTGAAAATTTACTTGACCGCAAAATTAAGATTTTTCAGAGTGATGGAGGGGGTGAATTTGATAATTTTCATATGCGGAATTTTTTTACTGATTCTGGAATTATTTTTCAAAAATCTTGTCCTGAAACTCCGCAGCAAAATGGCGTGGCTGAGCGCAAGCACCGTCATTTAATTGAACTAGCGCGAACCATGCTCATCACTGCCAATTTGCCCGCTCAGTTTTGGGTTGATGCTGTTCTCACTGCCACTTTTATTATTAATCGGTTACCTCTCCTACTCTACATGGTGTGTCTCCGTATGAAAAATTGTTTCTCTCTGCACCGGATTTATCTGGAATGCGTGTTTTTGGTTGTGCATGTTTTCCAAACTTTAATGCCACTTCTGCTAATAAACTTTCTCCACGGTCTGTTCAGTGTGTTTTTCTTGGTTATGCGTCTGAATATAAAGGTTATCGTTGTCTTGATCCTATTTCTGGTCGGGTTTATATTAGCAGAAATGTCCGATTTTTAGAAAATATTTTTCCATATTCTAAGTTGATTAGTGCTACACTGTCTCCGTCGAGTATGCCTTCTTACACCGCTACGTACCAGTGACCAGCCCCCATCCTCAAACCTGCAACTGCAATCCCATCCAGTTGACTCACTCCCAGATTTCCATGCACCCACTCTAACCTATAATCATGTTCCCAGCCCCTCTTCTACTCCCATTACCTTAGCAGACAGTCAATTACCTTCCACTACTCTGGCTGAGACTTTACTGGCCGACACACCACCATTCCCTACTTCACTGGCCGACAAATTAACAGTGCCTACCCCCCTGGCCGAAACCACAACAGCCTCTACCTCTTTGACCGAAACCACAACAGCCTCTACCTCTTTGACCGAAACCCCAGCAACCTCTACCTCCTTGGCCGACACCATCTCGACCAACACAGCAGCTCCCAATAGCTCCGCCCCGGTTGACAATATTCATCCAATGCAAACCCGGTCCAAATCCGGTATTTTTAAACCGAAACCTATTTTTAATTTAAACACAGTTGTTAGCACACCTGACCCTACTTGTTTTTCAATAGCTAATAAACATCTTAAGTGGCGAGCTGCTATGGCAGAGGAATTTAATGCTCTTATCTCTAATCATACATGGGACTTAGTACCATTTGATGCTAAAAAGAATGTGGTTGGGTCAAAATGGATTTATAAGACTAAGTATTTGGCTGATGGGTCTGTGGAACGCTACAAAGCACGGTTAGTTGCTCAGGGGTTTAATCAGCAGGCAGGTATTGATTTCACTGAAACATTTAGTCCTGTTGTTAAGCCCACTACTGTTCGTCTTGTTCTCACTTTAGCCGTGTCTTTTGGTTGGCCAATTCGCCAACTTGACGTTAAAATGCTTTTCTTCATGGAAATTTAACTGAGGAAGTTTATATGCGTCAGCCTCCGGGTTTTGTTCATCCTCAGTTTCCTCACCATCTGTGTCGGCTTCGTAAAGCCATTTATGGACTTAAACAAGCACCTCGTGCTTGGTTTCATAGGTTTAGTAGTTTTCTTCTTTCTCATGGTTTTGCTTGTAGCCGGTCTGACAACTCTTTGTTTATTTTTCGGCGTAATTATGATATTATTTACCTGTTATTATATGTTGATGATATCATTGTTACAGGCAATTCTCTTAAGTTAGTCACTCATTTTTTATCTCTCTTAAATAAATGTTTTGCTATGAAGGACTTGGGAGACTTACATTTCTTCCTTGGCATTCATGCTCATCGTACTCCCTCTGGTCTGTTTCTTTCTCAGCAAAAATACATATCAGATCTTCTTCATCGGTTTCATTTACATACCTTAAAATCCGTGCGCTCACCACTTCCTAGTCGTACTAAACTTTCCCTTACTGATGGAGAGCTTCTCGCTGACGCCACAGTATACAGGAGTATGGTAGGTGCATTACAGTATTTGACTTTGACTCGACCAGATATTACTTTTGCTGTACACCTGGTTTCTCAATTTATGCATGCTCCACGCACTTCACATTTGTTGGCTGTTAAGCGTATTTTCAGGTATCTTCAGGGAACATCCACTCATGGTCTACTCTTACAGTCCTCACGCGGCTCTACAGAGGTCATTGCTTATTCTGATGCTGATTGGGCTGGATGTCCTGATACAGGCAGGTCTACTTCAGGCTATGCAATTTTTCTGGGGCCCAATCTTATATCTTGGCGGTCCAAAAAGCAGCCCACGGTCTCCCGCTCTTCCACGGAAGCTGAATATAGAGCCATTGCCTACACGGTTCAGGATACTCTTCACATACGATCTATTATGTTCGAGTTGGGGTTTGCTGTTCGTTTTCCGACTACTCTGTTCTGTGACAATGTATCTGCTTCATATCTGTCTGTTAATCCCATCCAACATGCCAGGAGTAAGCATATTAATATTGACTATCATTTTGTTCGTGAACGAGTAGCTCATGGTGATCTTCGTGTTAAGTATGTTCCGACACAGGCTCAGCTGGCAGATATTTTTACCAAGTGTTTGTCGCCACAACGTTTTATTCTTCTTCGTGACAATCTGCGCATTGTTTCCCCTGCACAGCTTGAGGGGGTGTAATAGTGTAGATTTATTATTATTTCTTATTGTGGAACTCCTTGTGTAATATTAACTCTTTTTTAGTATAAATATATCTGCCAGGGCTACCATTAACGTTAAGCCTGGTATTATTTCTCACACCAATATCTTCTACTCATCTGTCTCCTTTGTTGTCTCTTACTCTACTCTGTTCTTGCATCTCACGCTCTCATTTCGATACTTCTCTCCGATCCCCTGCAGATCAATAAAATCGAAGATTAGTTATCAATTTCAACAAAATTTCTCATCAATAACACCTTATGAGTGTGGATCGAGCACAGACTCTAGCGATGTTTTTCCATTCTAAAAACTAAGGTTTGAATTATTCTACTCTATAACAATGCACTGAAGCTTCGATGTAGTTATTCGTGACCAAACTCTCTGAAATTGTGCATTATTTATCTTCAATTTGTGGTTTTTTCAATTTTATTCAATTTCAGATTTTGATTCGTATGTAATTTACAATTCAAACAATACTGTACGGTTCTGATAATATTTTGAAAGTTCTAATCTCTGAATTGGTCTCTTCTCTCACGTTCATACATTAGTTTATCAATTGTTATTGTTCTTTCTGTTAGCTTTCTATTCAATCTCATCACCACTCTTTATCACACCAAGTGTTTGATATTTTGCTTCAATAAATTAGTTTACTACAGATGTTCATGTTCTTAGAATGCAAGGTTAATTTTTAATAAAAAACAAATTCTATTTCACTCAATATCATTTTTTTGTTTAAAATCTCTCTGCTTAGATTTTTGTCCACTTCAATTCTTTTAAACTAAAATATCAGCTCTAATGCATATAATTATTAATAAAGGTTATCTCCTTTTATTTTAAAGTTATAAGAATGTAGGTAAACGTAATGTTTTAACATCTTTAAAATGGATATTGTAAAAACAGACTTAAATTCATACGTAGTAATACGGATGCGGTTGTAATTACACTTTTGAGCTCCTCTATATTAGCCATAATTAATGATAAATCAGGAGTTGTGTGTGAAAGTGCGGATAGTCATTATGTTTAAAGATATCAATTTTACATTAGAAGTAATTAGTTTCTCCCTAAGCATTTTCAATTTCAATTTGTAGCACCTCAACTGCTATGTGAAAATGTTTTGATGTACTTCCAAAATTGATGATATGGTGGTAATAAATTGAGTGATTATTCTGTAGTCAATATGGCTCTCTATGGTTTCTAGGGTTGTTTTTTATACAAGTAGACCTAATCAACTAGTAGTTATGTTTATGATGAGGGTACTTAAGAAACATGATGGGATGTGTTGTTTCTAATGATTTTACTTGAGGTAATATTATATTTTCCTCTTTTATCAGTCTGGCTTTGTTTTCATTTAACTTGGCTAACTACAAGTTACTGTTTATTTCTTAGAAGTTAGTATTGTAGCTCTATTAGTAACTGTTTAGTGTTTTTATGTTGTTAGTCTTATTTATATTTTCTGGTCTGCCATGGTAGTGATGGTATGTTTCTATTTTGGGACCACATCTTTACTATTCTTCTTCTTATGTTAGCCTTCTTGTTCTAAATGTTACCCTTCTTGTTCTCAAAGTTAGGTAATGTAAATTTAATTGGAAAAAATGAACTTCATATGAGTGACTCTACGAATTCGTGTTAAATCTACATTAACTAAATTGCAAACTCTTAGAGTGTTGGTTTGTGTAGTAAAAGTGATATCTTTTCAAGTAAAAGTTAGAGTAACTTTAATAAAAGTTATTTCATAAAATCATGATTATCATTGAATTTAGCTAACTAGAGTACAAAAAATATGACTCTCTTATGGTGTTATGTTCGCTTAAAAGAATGAATTATAAATTTATAACCCAAAACTCATAATTCAAAGCAATATGTTCAAAGTTATGAAATTTGCCTTATTAGTTACATATTTTTAAATATTTGTTAAAGTTGTTTGATTAGTCTTGAATATGGGTTATAGAAAGTGTGAATTTTTTTATTTGTTTGCAAAATGTTCAAAATTAAAAGTTATGCTTTCAGTTTTAAAAGTTATAAATTTTCACCTAGTAGTGATGTTTTTTAGTTTAGAAGTTACATAGGTTTACAGCTCTATAATTTTTCTTTTATTAAGGATAATAATAGTTATTGTTATCATTGTTGTTGTTTTTGTTGTAGGGAATCTCTATTCTGTATTCAAATATGTTTCCTATTGATTTTGATGTATGCAACTTATGTGAGTATAAAGTTATGTAGATAGTTATAGAAGTTATGGTTTTGGCTCTATTAGTTATTAACATTTGGGTACGGTTTTTATCTTCATAGTAGCAGATCAAAGACAACTTTGTGACAGTAAATGAGGCCAGTGCAGCTTGGAATGAAGTCATTTTGGATGTTGGTCTTGAATTGGGGTATAAAAGTCAACTACAGAACCCACAAATAAGTTATTGACATACAAAACACAGTTGAAGAAAAGAAGGAAATGAGAAAGGGCAAATAATAAAGAGGTCGTGGTGTTAGAAAGCAGAAAATTCATTTATCAATTACATGTTTTTTGTTCCAAATTTGAATGTAATGCATTGAAAGTTTTCTAGATAGAGTTTGTTTTAGGTGTTATCGGAATAAATTTTCAACTATTACGACAAAGACACAAATTATATATGAATACTTGTTTATCTTGTATTACTTACATTGCACAAAAAGTTGCACTCTTCAACTTTAAGAAGAAAAAGGTGATTACAATTTCTATTATTGACGATTTGGCAATTACTGTGGTCTTTTGAATGTTTTTTTTAGTTTTTTCAACGTTATTCCCATTGCAAATTTGCAGCTATGACTTAAATTAGATGTTTGCCCATAAACAGAAGAATCATTTGCTTCACTTGTAACTACCACAAAAGGTATCCTTTAATTAAGTGGCCAGCTAAACAAAGTAGAAACCAAATGGGGAATATTTCTAAAACATATGCCAAGGTAAAGTAAAATCAACGCAAAAAAAAAAGATCATAAGAGCTTCAACCAATTCGAAAAGCATATAAGCAGTCCATAGCTAACTAATCTAAACAATAATAGCTTATCTCCATTTAAGTATATTAATCTCATAGCACCACCTCCAACCAATAAAACTCAGATCATTCACCCAATCGGAACTTGAGAATATCCATATAACTTTTAACGTAAAATGTATAACTTATAACAAAAAAAATGATAACTTCTTATTTAAAAATGAAATAGACTCACATAACTTTCTTTAAGAAAGTGATTAACAACCAAATCCAATACAAAATGGCTTGAAGTATATGCAATTCTGCTCTACGGAAGGCAAAACAAAAGAATAATACTAACAAGCCAACCAACAAAGTTCAAATTTTCTGTGAGGGGACACTCAGGAAACACAAGCTTTAAGAAAAGAGCCCCTCCCATACATTGGATCGATCTGCATTTTTGCATTGTCAAAGTTAAATGTCCTTAAGTCTTCTATATCACAAAAGCCTTTGGTGTATTTGCCATACTTTCCTTCGGTTCCTTTGCTTCTAGTTCCCTCAAAAGCGAGTTCCCATATGTTCCTGCATATCAAATAAGCAATACCCAAAAAGAAAACACCATTACTAAAGAATTAAGAAGTTGACTGCTAGGTAGTATCTGATGAACGAATTATGAGTGTTGTACAACAATAGCAGACAAAAAGCCTTAGGTTTCTTAATGAGAGAAATTCAGCAGTGAAAAAAATCAAAGGATAAATAAATTTAGAAAAAGAGAATGCTCTCCTAGACCGAACACGAACCAGAAAACATTATAGCTTGATTATCAGTTCTAATGGAGTTAAAATCAACACCCTGCAATTGCTAAGCCAATTTGACCCTTTCTTGAAAGAATTTACTATATCAAAAAGGAAAACCACACCAACACATTATATTTAATATTATCTAACTTTTAGAGCAAGACGCTTAACTTTTAGAGTAAAATTTCCCACCCCACAAAAAGATTCTACAGAGAGCCGCCACCCGGTTGAGTACAGTTTGAGGAAAAGGGAAGGCCTGCAACCAAAAGGATTGAACTCCTTGAAGGACAGCTCTTATAAGCTCCAGCTTATAACATATTTCAATAAGAAATTTGTCTATGTGCTTCATTTGTTATTCATCAAAACACATAGTATATTCTACTCTCTAATGAAGCTCATTATCATTTACACATTTTAACAAACACTTGATAAGCATCACACAAATTCGTTCTTTATTAAGAAATTCTCAATAAATGCTAGGCTACAATTGATTATCTTTTACCAATGTGCAGTCAAATATACACATTCGATTAAAATATTACAACAAAATAAACAAGGAAAATTTAAGGAACAAAACTTTTACTATAAAGATATCAATTCAATCGGAAGATATCATATCAATTTTGGATTCACAAAAAACAAAAGTGAATATCAGGTAAAATTAATTCCCATAACCTAAGATCAAACAAGAAAATCCTCCCAATTCTTAATTTTGGACAGAGTGAGAGAAGCTTCAAATTGAAAACAAAAACAAGTTGATTTGGAGCTTCGCTCATCGTTAGCTAGTTGTCCTTTTCACTAAAACATTGGTCTTGTACGGCGTTGTGCTCACCAGGCTTTGGATGATAGACTTTCACTTCATCAATGGTGTTTCTTCGTGAAATTTCCGCACGAGCTTCTTTCGCTGCCGATCTTCATCTTCACAAAAGCTTCTTTCGCTGCCAGTCTTCCTCGATCGGGGGCTATTCGTGTATGGCGCACTCGATCAGAAATAACTCACCGCTGCTGTCACGGTATGTTATAGATGAAGCTTGAGTAATAATCCATCCATCGCAGATAGTGTAGTGGAAAAATAGATTTAGCAGCGGCGGAAAGCCGGAAACTAGTGAAAAAGAATAAAAGGACTTCTCATGGAGGACTCACGTTGCTTTTAATTACAAAATTGTCATTTGTGACGAGCAGATATATGGGCTGATCGCCAGGGGCGGATCCAGCATCGCCATTCAGGTGGGGCCATAATTTAATTAAATAATGTAGTTTGCAAAAAAATGTCAAAGTGTAGCGAAATAGTACTACGTATGTTATTTGACATTTTGACATGATTCGTTTTCAAATATAAAATAAAATTTGTTGCAACATAAATGTCAAAAACAAAAATGAATATAACAGGAATAAGAATTTCTGTCGAATGCAAAAACACCTCAAACTCATACATTTTGAACTAATTTTCACGTACCAAATCTAATGAATTGAACAAATTAATTTTTCAGGCTCATATTCAAAAAGGCCAATAGTGTTTACAATATTAGTATCTAGCTCATTTAACATTTGAGATCAATTGGTGTTAGCCTTGTTGTAAAAATCAATTTGATTTTAAAAAGATATTCTGTATGAAGGACAAAAAGATTTTAGGAAAGAGTTTAAAATTTGTACACTAGCTCTCCATTAAAAAGTAAACAAAAATAGAGCTCTAGATGAGCTTCGAACCTGGGACGTGTAGGTCTTCAAACACGGAACATGCAAGCATGTGAATTAGTTAACTTCCATCTTGCCAAACTATTAGTTGAACACTTATTGACTTTCTTTGTTTTTATATCATTTCTTAACGGAATTATATATAATATATATATATATCCTATTAATTTTATTTTTTTTGAGGTTGGGCCTAGGCCCTCCCTGGTCTAGGGCTAGATCCGCCCCTGCTGATCGCACGGTCCAGAATACTTCTCACTTTTCAGCCTAATTAGGACTTGTCATGGATCTTTTCTCTATATATAAATATATATATAAAATCTCAAAGTTTATAAAAAGCCTTGAAAATATACGATGCTAACGGCTGGGCACCATTTTAGAGTCCGAAACTCTCTCTTTTCTTTTCTCTTTCTTACCTTGCTGGAGGAATGCTGATCAGTGATCTTGTGATTAATAAACATAGTTTCCTAGCACCATTTACTATTTTTGTTTTTATTTTGTTTTTTTTTGTAAGATTTTGTTTTTGATTTCTAACAAAATAGACTTGCAGATTGTCAGCAGAAACTTTCTTTTCCCCATTTTATTTATACAGCAGTTGAATTCTCAAGAAAAGTAAAATCCTTTTTTGTCCCCACATTTGGAACCCTCGCCACCTTGACCAGAGTGCTCCTGCATCAATCCAGGAAACCAAAAACATATGAGTATAGGAAAAATATACCCTTTTGCGTATATATAATTTTCCGTTTCTTACATGCTGGAAATATTATATCATATATAATTGTGATGCCGAGTTTCTGGTCTGGGGTTTTCGAGTTTTAATCTTTTGGGGTCTACATTGTTTAAAATTCTTGAAAATTTATCTGTTCTAAGATCTTTTGAACTGGGTCATTTAGTTGTTAGATTTCTTGATTTTCTTAGAGTTTGTGTCATCTCTGTTTGAACCTCCAAACAATCTTTTGGAGTTTATGTTCTTCGGCACATTCGGGATATAGGTCCTTCAGAAGAATTATTATTTGGGGGATATTTGAGTGTAATTCTCTCCTTATAAATATTGAGAAAGTTGAGAATTAATTAAGGTCTTAAATATTTTGAAAGTGGGTCTGCATCAGAACACGACATTGCAAATTGAATGGTTTGTAAAAGCTGATTATGTGTACTTCATCCATTTTGGAAAACAAGTTGTTCACAACACCATGGGCAGCATTTGTTCCAAGGGATCAGAAGCTGCTAATTATATCACAGCTACTGATAATGCAAATAAAGGAAAAGAGTTAACAAAGTCTTCTGTACAGACAGTTGCTCCCTCATGCCGGGAGGTGGTTAAATTGGACCTCACTAATACTACAAAAGATGGCTCTGGACATCCCCACCCAAAGCGAGAACCTGAAAGAAACACAACCTCAGTTCCTGTGCTAAAAGTCGAGAATGACGGGAAAACGAGAATTATTGAGAGGCCAAAAAATGGCCACAGGAGGCGATCAACCGTAGATCTTGGGATTAGCGGGGTATCAAATTCAGTTTCTAGGATAGTGAGCATGCCACACGGCGCAAAGGGAGAACAGGCTGCTGCTGGGTGGCCAACCTGGCTAAGTTCAGTTGCTGCCGAGGCCATCCAAGGGTGGCTTCCTCGAAGTGCAGAATCATATGAAAAAATATGCAAAGTGAGCTCCTAACTTCTTCGGCTCTTTTATTGTTTCTTGATTCAATTCTATGCATGAACTAATACATAAAAGTTCGATTTTATACTGCTTTATATATTTTTGAAATGAGTGGGTTAACATCAACTTGTGTTTTTATCTTTCTTTTTGAGTTTCTATTATGATTTAGACTCCGTCTTACAAGGTCATCTTTATACGAGAAGTAACCTAAAATCTCATACATGAGTTTGTATCTTTATTTTGCAAATCTTGAAATCTTTGCTCTCTTTTGAGTCTTGCTTATCCGAGCCTTAATATGTGAGTTTTTACTTTCAGGCTGTACCTGTGAGGGATAAATTTACAGTTTGAATCGTTGTTGTCCATCTGTAGTTCCGATAGTTCAAGTTCTTGAATGGATGAAGAACCAATAAAAAGAATTATTAGATCATATTTCAAACACAAAACCATGAAAACGTACTTTTCCGTAGTGAGCATTTTATTGAAAATGATCATGATCTCCTGATATACAAAGTATGAATAAGATACTTTCCAGAATCAAATTTGTGGGTATTAAAAAAAAGACTCTTCGTTTTTTACAACAATCTGACATTGCAGATTGGGCAAGGGACATATAGCAGTGTTTACAAGGCCAGAGACCTGAAAAACAATAAAATTGTGGCAATGAAGAAGGTAAGGTTTGTGAATATGGATGCAGAAAGTGTCCGCTTCATGGCGAGGGAAATATGCATCTTGCGTAGACTGGACCACCCAAATGTCATGAAACTTGAGGCTGTTGTGACATCAAGGGTATCAGAGAGCTTATATCTGGTTTTCGAGTACATGGAGCATGACCTTGCTGGGCTTGAGTCATTGCCAGGTGTCAACTTCACCGAACCGCAGATTAAATGCTATGTGCAACAACTATTTTCTGGATTGGATCACTGTCATAGTCGTGGTGTGCTTCACCGAGACATCAAGGGCTCAAATCTTCTAATCAATGACAATGGTGTTCTGAAGATTGGAGACCTTGGACTGGCCACCACCTTTCATCCTGATAAAAAAGAGCCTTTGACAAGTCGAGTTGCAACTCTGTGGTATAGAGCTCCTGAACTTTTGCTAGGTGCAACAGATTATGGAGTGGCCATTGATATGTGGAGTGCAGGTTGCATCCTTGCAGAACTATTTGCAGGCAAACCTATCATGCCTGGAAGAACAGAGGTCCCCCTATCCTCTTCTTCCCATATTTCATATGTAAATGTAATACACAATTTTATTTATAAAAAAGATTAAGTTCCAGGTGGAGCAAATGCATAAAATCTTCAAGCTTTGTGGGTCTCCATCAGAGGAGTACTGGCGGAGAACAAAATTTCCTCACGCCACTAGTTTTAAACCACAGCAGCCGTACAAGCGATGTGTGAATGACACCTTCAAGGACTTCCCACCTTCAGCATTAGCTCTTGTTGATACCTTACTTTCTATAGAACCCGAGAAGCGCGGAACTGCTGCTTCTGCACTAAACAGCGAGGTATTCTGTAATGTCTCCAATTTTTTTCATTTCCTTCTGCAATTCGTATATCATCACTCTTTCTTGATTCCTAAACAACTGCACCTTTTCATATTTGGAAATGTGTTAGGTTCAAAGCATGTACATGTGAATATTAACCAGTGAGTGTAGACAATTAAAATGGCCATCAATCTGTACACTTGAATCTACAAACTTATCTTTTGTATTTGCTTTTCACGATAAGACGATAATTTCAAATTCTATCTGATTACTGAAACGACCATTCTGTATGCTATCAATTGGCAAAATAAACTTAAAAGGAAAAGTATAATCTTCTAAACATAATTACATGTGATTTTATTGCTAAACAGTTGCTATGCATTGTTTCCTGATAAACTGATTCATAACTGATTCTTTTAACTCCAGTTTTTCACAACAAAACCCCTACCATGTGATCTATCAACTTTACCCAAATATTCACCAAGTAAGGAACTTGACTCAAAAGTTCGAGACGAAGAAAGAAGGTATGCTATGTTTTTTGTTCATCATATCAGTTGTTTATTTTCCATTGTCATTTCTCTCCTTGCATTATCAAATACAAGTAATATGTTTATTATATATGCTTCTGGGTAGTGTGAATGAATGTGTGATGGGAGTTATCAACTCATTAGGCCATTGAAATTGTACTACTCAGTACTCCCTCCGTCCCATTTATATTGTCCCGGAAGAGGGTGGCACGGTTATTAAGAAAAGTGGGTTTGTGTGGTTGATATTAATTGATAAAGTAAGAATAAAGTAAGAATAAAGTAAGAATGATTTAGAGCCACACAAACTTTGCCAAATATGGTATGGGACAATATAAGTGGGACTTCCCGAAAAGGTAAAACGGGACAAAATAAATGGGACGGAGGGAGTAATTACTAAACATTTATATACCTGAAACCTCACAAGTAGATTCCGTTAATGCAATATGCAGGAGAAAAGCTGAAAGCGTGAAAGGGCGTCGAGGTGAATCTACAAAGAAGAATGCAAGGGACCCAAACGGACCACCTGCAGAATTCAGTGCTCAAGGACAGGTTTATGTTCATAAAGTGTTTATTTGTTGTTTAAACTGTTCTTAGGCCGTGTTTGGTTTGGGGATTTCAGAGGGGAGGGAAAGGGATTGATGATATTTATTTTTTTGATAATCTCTACATTTTGATGGTGGGAAATATAATGAACTAAATAGATACACATCATTTACCTAATCATATATGGTGTAGTTTTTATACTCTAAAACTAACAAATATAGATAAATTAGCCAAACTGTAAAATCAAAATCACAAATGCCCTTTCCTTCCATCCAAAATCCCCAAACATTACAAGCCCTTAGTCCTACTGTTCGACATAACTGAGAAAAGATTCTGCAGGGACGATCTAATAGAAGTGCAAGCGTGAAGTACAACCCACTGGAGGACAGTGGGGCAGGAGGGTTCCATATGGAACAACCCGCAGCAGTAAAATATAGGAATGGCATCACCCATTCTAATTCGGTGATCCATCCAAATATGTCTGGTTATGCCAGGGAGGGTCACAAAGTAAGGGATGGTGACGGAGGTAAAACAGTTCATGGGCAAACCTTCGATTCTTCCCATCATGGTGAAGACCTTCTAAGAGATGGATCTCAAAAGAGGCGACAAGTTAATGTGTTGTTAAGTACTTCGAGAGATGAAAGATTATCTGACCAGGACCCCGCCACAGTAAGTTCTTAAAATAGTTTTCACTTTCTTGCAATGAAAGAGTCCCCATCCTGCGGTAATTTATTTACATTTATTATTAATGATAAATTCATTGAACTTTCAGGTTTATGTTCCGAGAAGAAGTAGAATTCTTTGCTCTGGGCCATTGGTGCCTCCCGGAGGAAACATGGAAGACATGCTGAGGGAACATGAGAGGCAAATTCAAGACGCAGTTCGCAAAGCCAGGACCAAAAGGAACTGCTACTACGATTAATAACTCAACCTTATGATCATCTGAAGGTGTCCAGCTTCAATTGAGGTCACTCAGAGTCTTGATATCCAGAAGGGCAAGACTGGTCTGGGTTCAGGTGCCAACATTGTTTGTATTTGGATTACTATAATGGGAGAGACTTACGAAAATCTGTATAGAGAGTAGGGATGGGTAAACTATGCCTATAAGTTGGGGATGTTTGCTCGTCCATACTGTTTATACATCCATATATACACGCTATGTACCTATTTAATTTGGTCCAACGGCAGTCTGGGAAATGGAAGTTCACTTGCAGGCCTTTGTTACCTGCCTTTCCAAAAGTTTGATTTTGTCATGAAGAAAAAGATATAAAATCGGGTGTTGTGATGGCAACTCAATGAGGCATGGCATCAGCAAACCACCTTGTTGACTAGTAGCTGAATACAATATTTAATATGGTATATTATAAAATGTAAATAGATAATTTTCTAATCTATCATATAAAAGTATTAATAGATATATATTTCCAATCATTTAGGGTATACAACTTCACCAAAAATCTCTGATGTGTAATTCATGTGATTGCTGTCTAAAGAAACAAAAAAAAGGTCATAAAGAAAAAAGTCAACTACAAAGATAAATAAAGAAACAAAAACAAACAGAGGGAAGAAAAATTTAAGAAAGAGAAGGAAAAAGTTGGTAGTTTTTTTCTCTTCATTCCTTTTAGTATTTTTCATTTTTTAAGTTTGGTAATGCTATTTAAAATTTAAATTAGGCGAAAAAAGGTAAGGTAATAATGGCAAAACGAATTTGGCAAAAACAGACAATTCTGATTTCTGAGCATCATTATGAACGCCGAATTGAAGGCTAAGCAACCACTCAATTTCTAGTGTTCGACAGTCTCAGGCAAGCAGCCATGCTGAACAATTTCCACCGTCTGAATACCAAAGGTCACCTAGACAACACCATGGCAACCATGGTCATGTCCTAACTACTGTCCCATGAGTTCTTTCAATTACAAGTGAAAATAACAAGACCTTTTCACACAAAACCACTCTAAAGTGTTTGTCTCATATAACAGGACACGAAGACCGAGCCATAATCTCAAATTCATTGGCTACATCCTCTATGACAGCAGAAAGGCTAGTAAGAGCAGTAATGGGCGACCCATCATCAACGTAACTAGATCTCTATTACTGCTCAATACAAAATCAGAGATATGTGAAAACTACATAACATAATATTATTCTCAAAAAAGTGTAACAAACAGGGGTGCACTATTAACCTTATTTAGAGACAGATGTTAACATTATGTACATTGCATTTCAGAACGAAGTTATTACAAAAAGTCTAACCCCAATAACCCCACAAAGTTATTAATTATTATTACTATTATTATTATCAATAATAGAAAAAAGTCTAACCCCACTAATGACTGGGCCATCAAATGTCTTTCCTAGGCTTGCGACTTATCTCAGAGTAATCGCCACCCATCAACTGTAAAATCTCTTCCCACAAACTCTCAGAAGGAGAGCTCCCAAATATCAAATTTGCACTACATGCAGCAACACACCAATAACCCAATTCAAGCTCTTCCATCAATTGGTCTAACTGCCAGCCTGCATACCCTAAGAAGAATCTAAAATTTTGAGGTTTAAGCTCCCCTTTCTTTACTAGAGCAGATGCTTCTTCCAGACAGTTTCGAGAACCAAAGGACACGCCAGGAATCACCTCATTAAATCCCTGAATACGCTCATAGTTTCCTTCTGCTCTTAACAAGATCATACTTGCATCAAGAGGCCCGCCAAAATGCAAGGAGCAGTCAGAAAAAGTGGTTGCCAAGTCAAGATTTGTGGGCTTCATGTGTTTCATCTTTTTTCCAAGTGGGCGATTTATGATCAGGCCAAAGGGCCCCTCTTGGGGACGATTAGTTCCAGTTCTCAGAAGAAGAACTACTGTTCTCTCAAAGCTGCGGACGCTATCAAGCTTTTCGGTAGAAACAAGGAGGCAACCATTCTCAGGGGCTGCAATGGGGTGTGCCCACTTTGGAGGTAGAGATTTAAAGCCAAATGCAGTTCCATCGCGCTTTTGAGGGTCAGAGATGGCAATGGCAGCCTGATATTAAAGAATTGGACAGATTAGAACAATGACCTGTTGTTTTACCATAAAAACTTAACTGTCCAGTTTTTTTGTTTTCTTCCAATCAAGAGTACAAAACTTCCACTCCCCTAATGGCCCAAATGTCATGAATTGTGACATATTCAAAATTAGCCAACGGTGCTAGTGTACTAGAGATAACAAAAACGCTTCTAGCCCCCAGCATGGCATATCATTTGATGGAGGATAAAGAGGTATCTGTAGGAGAATATAGAAAAAATGCTCCATTTTAATAAGAAAATGTTTGATTGAAGATTTATTATTACAAATATAAAGTAGCTATCCTATTCTTATTCCTGACAATGGAACCCCCCGTAGGGGGGACTTGGTTAAAAAAGGGAAACTAATTACCTATAACTGCAGGAGTTCAGGTTCAGCTGACTTGACCCACATATAATGGAGAGACAGGATTTGATACGGACTTAAAAGGATGAGAACCAGAAAAATTGATTTTGATGATTTCTTTTTCACATGACGCTTCAGTTCAGCAACTACAGGCAAACTGTTCTAGTAATCATCAGATGAACAAGTATTCAGCAGAATAATGTCTTGCCTTGGAATTGTTCCTTCAGTCAAAACCCCTTTAAAGTATAAAAATAAACATTTTTCTTTTAATGGTTGATGAAACTTATTCCCTAATGTAAGGCAGAGGTTGTTTGGGCCTTAAGAGCCTTACTTGGAGGTAGGCCAAATGTACACAATCCACTACATATAAATAAAAAAGGCTAAGAGTTATCAGTACACGAACACATGAACCACATGGTAGACCATGTGTGTCTTAGTTAACAATAAGGAATTTTTTTAGCAGAAGATAAATTAAATAGGAGTCACATCTATTATTCTCATATGTCAAGGGCTATGTTTGAAGAAGTGAAAACGGAAAATTCATAAGCATTCAACTAAACAGTGTACTAAAAGAGATAATACCTGCTCCTGAATATAAAGAGAAGCTCTAAAATCTCTCCAGTCAATGGACTTGTGATAGGAATTCTGGCCACCATCACGTTTGGTGTTGTTTTCGGAAAAAGGATTGATTTCATTAGAACCATTATCTTCTGCGAACGAATCGTCATGCTTACCTTCATTTTAAGAAGCATTGTACACTTGATTAGAGGCTATATACATTTTTATTACATCACAAACACTGGAGACTGAAGATAAAGTATGAAGAATTTATAGGAATTATAGCACAACACAGAAATGATATGCTTCTTCTAAGGTTGGATGAGAAATGATCTCTTTTCTCTCTCATTCTCTTTTATCCTTTATCTTCTTTATCTTTCTATGTTGATTGTTATCCTTTTCTTTTATCTTTCATATGCTCTTTTATCTTTTTATATTTTGTCTTTCTTGGGTTCTTATGGTATTTGATCCTATATTATCTTTATCTTATCCATTTTATCTTACTTTATCTTTTTTTCTTCTTATCTATCTTCTTTTGGCTCTGATATCATGGATGGATTCATATTAGCAGACCCCGAAATCTTTTGGTAATAAAGCTTGGATGTTATTGTTGTATTGCGAAGCACAGACTGAATTTTTAAGCATTCTGGAATATGAAGTCCAGCATCACTCATTTAAAAAGAGCTGGACTCAGATATCTTTACGAGTGTCTACTTCCATGTTTCTTTTTATTTTTTCAATGTGGAACGCCACATTATGCATCAAAGCAGCTTCGTGTACACACCAGTTGTGTACACGCCACCAGTTGTGTCCCAGGCATTTTATGTCATTTTTGATAATGTGATGTCTGTGACACCGATGAAAATAAATTTGTTTGTGTCACACACAAAATTGTTTCTCAAATTGTCAGTGTCACCGACAATTTGTCATGAAAATGTCTGACACAAACAAAAATGGGGTGTGTACATGTTGTGTACGCATCCGGCATGTACAAAATGACTTTTTCATTATGCATTTCAATCCTTCTTCCTTACAAATTGTTCATTCTCTCTCACTAGTTCTACTCAACCTATTAAGTAATTTATACTACGTATGCTAGACCCTAGAGGCTCTATCTCTCAACTGGAGTAGCACAAAGTGATGTGCCTTAGGGTGTAAAATCAAAGACCCAAAAGTACTAATATTTCTTCACTTATGTTTTTCCTGAAAATTGCAATTATATGAGTATAAAATATTAGGATTATAATTAGGCTATGTTTGGTAGGATGTAATCAATCATGTATTGTAATGAGCATTTTTACGTTAGCATTGCATTACACCAAACCAAACATAGTTTTATTAAAGATTAATAACAGATATATCCCGCACTTCATAGCCATTTCACTTCCAAGACAAAGGCGAAATGAGATCCAATTACACGAGATAAGGTATCCTTATAAATCCAAATCATTGAATAAAAATTCCTAAAATATTGTCTGCGAAATTCGTAAATTGAAAAACTCAAAGTAGCAAAATGCAGCTCACAAATGTTCACTTTAAGTAGTCCAAAAGAAATGTAAGAAATTGAAGAAATTGAACACACCCGAAGAAGATAAATCAGGATTAAAACTCCTTGTATTTTTCTTACCCGTCGCTCTGATAACAAACGATCTCGAGAACCCGGATGGGGAGAAGGCACCGCCTTTTGGCAATTTGATACGGAAAATCTCCGAACTCTCGACCCGATATGATGACACGGAAAGTAAACCAGTAGCCACGACCATGTTCTTCAGGTACCCAGAAACAATGGGTTTCTCAGTAATCGAGCTTTTCAACACCATAAAACGCAATTTTCCGGTACAATTGGATTGTATTGCTCCTGGAAGATCCATTTTTATTAAAGTGAAGAACAGAAAAATGTGATCAGTCTCACAGTTGGGCTGTTGGGCGGAGCTGAGTAAAACTCCGCATAAGTGAATATCAATAAACCGAGATTGATTCGTGAGACTCACCCTTAATGATGCTGGCAATGGGTCGCCTCAACCGCTTCTACGGTTCTACCGGGGAAACTTTTATTTTTGTAAGAGAGGTACCGATGCTAAACACTAATCAAGTAATTTGTGCTTGATTCGCGATTTGAATTTGTATAAGATGATTCAAATTAAGAAAATTCAAATACAATACAAATATGAATTTAAATTTGATTCGATTTGTTATCAAATACAAATAAGAATATCAGTGTATTCGATTCGAATATTAATCAAATATATTCAATTAATAATAGTGATATTAATAATAATAATAATAATAATAATAATAATAATAATAATAATAATAATAGTAATAACACTATAATAACTTTAAAAAGATAGCAATACCCTAAAGTGTAGTTCATATATACATTTACGCATACAGATTCTAAGTCCATTTGTAATAAATTAGAGTATAAATATGAATACAAATTGGATTTTTGGTTCATATGTCCATTTTTTGAGTAAATTGTATGCAACCTCTTATTGGCATAGTGTTTTTAATATATTCATGGATTATGTGCATCTTAATGATATAAATGGATATTTACTTTGCATTTATTTGTAAACTATCTCATATATGTATCCTTATGCTTTATTCAATGTTTCAAACATGGAACAATTCTTAGCACCGAAAAAGAGTTTGATGAATGAAAATGAATTCTCACTCACACGGATAATAGTATATGTGTTTTGGAGGTGAAGATTATATCCGGAAAAAATATTGGTTTCACAATCATCATTGATCCTGTCATTTACCTTGACTTCTTTCAAATTTTTACACAAAAAGTTCCCAATCAGCGTTTCATTTCCCATGAGTCCATGACATAAACAACAGTCAAAGATAATGTGTATACAAGTGGGCAGTGGCAAAGCCAGGGTTGACATGTTATAGGGGCTGAAGATTAAGGAATTTATATAGCAGAGGCCAAAACTTAATTTTTCACTATATTTTTTACTACTTATAAATATTTATACACATCACAAATTTTTTCTTGCAGGGGCCGAGGCCACCGCCAGCCTCCCCCTGTCTCCACCCCATCAAGTGGGCATATACCCAAAATGCATTCTTATGCATGATCAATTGTATGTTGTCGTGTAAATTGCCACCTTAACGGGTGGGTTAGAGATTCATAAGTTTGATGACAAGGTTTGGGTTATCAACCCCAGTGGCATATAATGTATTTTTTAAAAAAATTATGATAATTTTTTAACATTATCAAGATATATGATTACTTTTTTTATACAATTTTATGTGACTCACTAATAATTGTACTACAGTGTTATTTTATTGTAATAGAGCTTATTCTTACACTTTATCATTAATTTTAACTTTACTTGTGATTTTCATACTGTCCAAATTTTTATTTCCTTACAAGTTCTATATTATAATCAAATTTACAATAAATAAAACCTAATATCTTTTTTTATTTACCAAAATGATATATTATGTACCATCTTAATAAAATATAATTTTAAATAATATGTTACTGTATCATATTCTAGATATACCCCGTGCATCGCACGGGTACTTCGTCTAGTAAAGATGAATAATAACAAAGGCCTGCCATTTCAAATGGTTCCACAATAGGGCTGGGACCGGTTCAGTTCTTACTCAAAATGAGTGGAACCGTTATAAAAGTTTTAACTAATGAAATCGGTTCGGTTCCTATAAAAAAAAATCAAGAACCGTTATGGAACCGAACCGGTAGTAAACGGTTCGGTTCTTCCTTTTACCGGTTCCTAGAATAATTTTTTATAGTCTAAGAATTAACACATAATTTTAAACACGTTGAAAATTTAAAACACGAGTATTAAAATTTTATTTGAAGCTCTAATCACTTCAAACATCAAAGCTCAAACTTAACTAATGAACTTTGAACACTTAATAGAACAAAAGTGATTTAAATTTTCATGTAATAAATAAAACATTAAAAATCGTTGTAGTGTCGGAGCGATAAGGTTACTCGTCATCATAGTAGCTAGAATAGGACGCCTACTTCAAGTCTTTCATAACATAAAAAAAAGACATTGAGTTTGCATGTATAGATATAAAAAACATTATTACATTCTATTGATTCATAATAAATCTAATTATTAGAAATATCATGAAAATAGTAAAGTAAAATATGTGCAATCAAAGTTACAAGTCATTTGGGTTATTTTATATTTATAAAATTTATGTGATGGAACAAAACTTGATTTATAGAAAGGAGTTTAATGTATCATATCAACCTCATGTACAATATTTATTACTTCTTTTCCGTTGATTAAATTAGAATTGTTAGTTACATATCTTATAGATGTCCCTCTGGTGTCGTTGACAAAAAAAAGTTAAATATCTTATATTGTTTTATTATTGTTGTTGTTGTGGTTATTATTGCTATTATATTATTATTATTATTGTTACTACTAATACTAATATTATTTTATTTTTTATTTTTTTAAATAATGGTTCCTTAACGGTTCCATGCACATATTTTTTATAGGAACCGAACCGTTATAATCCGGTTCGGTTCGGTTCCTACAAATGAGGCATTAATTGTTAACGGTTCGATTCCTAGATGTTGTTAACGGTTCGGTTCCAATCGGTTCTACGGTTCCCGGTTCCAAAATCCCACCCCTATTCCACAATGCCATGGGATAAGAAAAAGCTACAAAAGATTCAAACATTTTACCCATACTAATTAAATAGAAAATATACTTATATAGTATGAAATCTTAAAATAAAACATGCAAAGACTAAGTAACCTAAACTATTGATCAACTTCATTAAAGATAGATGCCACCAATACCATTACTTTGCTTAAGCTCAGTCCAATAATGCATTGCTTTTTCTTCTATATTCTCTTTCAACTCATTGCCTTTTCTTCTATTGCTTAACCAAATCAATTGCAATGTGCAACAATTATGTTGAATTTTCTGATAATTGTCAATTGATAGCACCACGTTAAAAGCTGAAAAAGGCACATAAAAGCTCTGTTAACACTTCTATGTACGAAGTATAAGGCATATAAAAAAGCTCTGTTAACACTTAAATGACCAGCAGCTAAGCATCTTATATCATTGTTGTCTCTTATGGAGTCATAATAATATTATCATTGTCACTTAAATGACCATGAACCATCAAACATTTCTTGTCTATAATTGCAAAAGTAAACACAAATTCAATTACACTTGAATGGACTGCAATTGTGATGCAATTTGTTCTACTTAGAGGTTACGTTTTCATCTTCTAAATTGATAATTGATGAATGATGATACATGAGCATCAAATCTAATCTAAATAGTTAACATAACACTACATTTTCCTTGAGCAAAGTTGAGGAGAATTGCAAGTGAAAATTTGAGCACTGCTAGCAAGGAAAAACCACCCCATCATCGACTGATCCCAAGCAGTGCCACGGCAGCCGCAGAGCAAAGGAAACTCACAATTTGGCCGCCAGTAAACCTTAGAGAAGACAACTAAGACGACAACACCTCCGGGGGTTTGGAAAGCTTGAGCGATGCTAGCAGATTGCAAGAAAAATACTTTTGCTTCTCCATCTTCGTTTATCCTGACGTTGCTTCTGCTTCGTTAGTTTGTTTCATACTTCGTATAATCCTACGTTCAATTGTACCGTCAAAACTAAGGTTTACGGTACGGACTGAATTGCAAATAATAGACTTTTGTCTATGTCTTTAAAGAATCCATGTGTAAGACACCTATTGGTCCAACAAGGCATAGGTACGGTACCCTCTTAAATATAAGAGGTACCGTAGAAATCACCTTTTCTAAAAGGACGTAAGTTTGATGTTTCTAAATCCAAGTTGAGGTTCCCGTGATTTTGAGGTTGCCAAATTTACCAAATAAGGTGAATTTCTATTTGTCAAATTTACCAAATAAGGTGGATTTCTATATCAACATGTAATAAAAATAGAATGTAATAATAAAATAAAAGGTATATAAACTAATTAAATACTCCGTAATTGTTATATATGATGACATGACAGTGTTATGTGGCGCGTTGTATGCTTTTAAAAAGTTCCTCTTATATATATATATTGATTATCTTACTAGTATTGAATTTTATCCGAGACTTGTTGGTGGATTTTCCAGAAGAGCCCATAAATTTTAGGGAAAAAGTTGAGATATTACCCAAAATGGGACTAAAAAAGTTTGGAAATTCCAAAATAGGACTTCCATGTTTTTATTCCCAAAATAGGACTAATTACTGTCATGTTTTGGTAGTACCAGACTTCAAACATGGCAGTATTTTCCAAATTTGGCAGTAATCAGTCCTATTTTGGGAATAAAAACATGAGTCCTATTTTGGAATTTTCAAACTTTTTTAGTCCCATTTCGGGAACTTTCCAAAAAAAGTTTTATACTTAGACCTGTTGGTGGATTGTCGGGATGAAAGTAAACATGTATACAAAATTGGTGAAAAGAATATTTGAATCAACACATTCATTTCTAGTTGGAAAATCTCATTTTTGTGCAATTAAACATATTTTGCTTAAATTTAATTACTAACGTTCACTAATCTTAGTTATTTGTGCAATTAAACATACTTTGCTTAAAATTAATCCAATTAGTTTTGATTTTAATTATTATTAAAATAATTTATTTTTCTATAAATTTTAATTACTTTAATTATAAGTTGTGTTAAGTTTAATGTGTTGAGACAAATTACTTAAAGGGCATTTAAGTAATTCACCAAATATGCAATATAAGATATCATTCGACCAAACAACTTAATGTCACATTCTATCCATCTGATATACACGGCAATCTAACATTCTCATGTCAATCTGACATCCATTGAACCAAACATACCCCTAAATGTTGTGCTCAACCCTATTGGAGAGATCATTGAAGTGCAGAGGGAGTATTAAGAATGTGTATTTTTAACTTCAAAACTACAGTAAAACATAATACCAGCTTTCATCATTGATTGATCGAACATACATACAGCAGACATGTAGATCGATGTGTGGAAAGCCCATCCCATTTGGTGCATAAATTATTATTACTCTGATCTGATCGATCCACTGCGCGCGCGGCATGGGCCTTGATAACTTGTCCAAT